GGCCTAATTTTCCATTCTTGAAGGCAGATGTTCCTATAATTTCACCTGTTACCTACGTCCTTTTGATTCTAGCTCACCTAAAGGTCTTCCACAGATCTTTTTTTTTTTTTTTTCCCTTATTATACACTCAGGATCTAAGATCTTCTATTTGAATGTTTGCCAGGGCTACAACACCTTAGCACATAAATCAGTATCCACCTTCTTTGTGACTGTTAGTTTTGTTCTTGCCCTTCTTGTTTCTGAGCTCCTTGTAGATACGACTTTGATTCTACATTTGATACTGCTTTGATTACCTTGTTTGGAATAGGTGCTAATTAGGTTGCCCCCCCACCCTTTTTGATATAGAGTCTTGCTTTGTTGCTCAGGCTGGAGCACAGTGGCATGATCACAGATCACTGTAGCCTCGACCTCCTGAGCTCAAGCAATCCTCCCACCTCAGCCTCCCAAGTAGCTGGGACTACAGGTGCATGACACCACACCCAACTAATTTTTTCAGTTTTTTTATGAAAAAAAAAAAAATGCTGTGTTGCCCAGGCTGGTCTCAAACTCCTGGGCTTTAGAGATCCTCCTGCCTGGCCCCGCAAAGTGCTAGGATTACATGTAGCCACCACACCCAGCCTACGATTGCACCTTTTTAGCTCTAAAGAGGCGCTCCATAATCTCCCAATGGCTCTTAGTCATAAAACAATATGTTGCAGAATACTTTAAGTGAAATGAAAATTCCCCAGCCAGCTATAGTCACTGCTGGGTTGGAGTTGTTGAGGACAAAAAGATTTAGTTGGGGGAATATGCGTGTATTGAAATACCACGGTTAGAGGGTTCGGTGCTTATGGAGAAAAGGTTACCACAGCGGAACTTGGAGGCTGTCTCTTGGCAAGTGGGATGTATTTTTGCAGGCCACGAGGTTGACTACGAAGATGTGGGTTATACTACAGCCATCCTTTCATGACTTGCATTAAGCTGGTTAGTGGGCTGACATTTTTGTCAGTGAACTCTTGGAGGAGAGTGGGGCGAGCTTGGCCTCAGTAATTATTGTATTGTCTTATGAGAAATGTTACATGTGTTATGTACTTTGTCTGTCTGACAAATCTGGTTGACGATGCAAGCTTAAAGGAATCTGACCAAAAGCAATAAAAGTATTGAAATCTTTTCTTGATTTCTGGTCCAGTATGCTACAAAACATATACAGGCTTTATTTAAATTTTTGAAGTAACTACTACTTTCTGGAACATTTATTCTTTTATGCTGCTAAACCAGAGGATGTTCTCCCACCACCTCCATTGTATCCCTCCTATCAGCCGTGCCTCAGGGTTTACTGCATTGGCTTAATTGCCTGTCTTCTCTAATTACTCACAACTCTTTTCTTTGTGATTTGTTTCTGTTACGGTTTTTTGTTTTTTGGACGGGTTGTCCTCTGTCGCCCAGTCTGGGTGCGTGGGCACATCTGCCCTCACTGTAACCTCGCCTCCCAGCGTTCAAGCAATTCTTCTGCCTCAGCTCCCGACGTGGGTTGGGGACTACACGTTGCGTGCCACCATGCCCAGATTAATTTTTATATTTAGTAGAGATTGGGTGTCTCACCATATGACAGGCTATCTGAGACCCTGACCTTGTGATCTGCCACCTCAGCCTCCCAAATGGCCTGAGATTATAGGCATCGAGCCACTGGGCCCGGCGGCTGGCAGTTTTTTGAGACAGGTCTTTGCGTGTTCAGGCCTAGAGTACAGTGGCAACAATCTCCCCTCTTTGCCGCCTGACACCTCTCTAGGCTCAAGGGAATCCTCCTGCCTCAGCCTCCCAAGTATGCACACCTCTGCTCCTAGCTACTCTGGAGGCAGAGGCAGGTGGGTCGCTTGAGCCTGGGAGTGCAAGGCAACATAGCCCTGGCAACATAGCAAGGCCCACCTGTACGAAAAATTTAAAAATTGATAGCCAGGGGTGACGGCACACACTTGTGGTCCCAGGTACTAGGGAGGCTGAGTCAGGAGGATCACTTGAGCCCAGGAGTTTGAGACCAGGCCTGGCAGCATAGTGATACCGCATCTCTACAAAAAATTTAAAATTTAGCCAGGCTTGCCCCTGTAGTCCTAGCTACTCTGGAGGCTGAGGTGGGAAGATCACTTGAGTTCAGGAGTTTGAGGAGTTTGAGGCTGTGATGAGCTAGGATTGTGGCACTGTGCTCCAGGCTGAGTGACAGAGACCCGATTTCTTTAAAAAAAAAAAAAAGAAAGAAAAGAAAAAGGACAGATTGGGAAAGGATGCAGGGAAGCATGTGAAAGAGACAGAGAACCAGAATCAGAGGGTGATATTGTGGTTGCTAAAATAATAGAAGGGATGGACAACAGTGTGATGTGGTGTCATAAGTCTAGGAGGAGAACCACTGGCAGGAGTCCATTGGACTTGGCAATTAGAAGGTCATGGGTGAGAGGAGTTTCAAGGGGATGGTGGGGACAGAAGAGGGAATGGCAGGTGAGACAATGGTGTATGGTAGCTAGAGATGGCGGGGCTGAGGGTTTCAGATGTGTTGTGGACGTGGGATGCTTTAATAGATAAGAGACTTAAACTGGCTTATATGTTGACTAGAACCACCCAGTCGAAAGAGAGACTGGAGTTCGGAGATAGGATCATTGATGATAAAGCAAAGGTCCTGAGGAGTGAGGAGAGTGAAGAGATTTAGGGAGCACATAGGGGGATTAAACTTGGGTAGGAAGGATATACCCTTTCAAAGGAAGCAAAGGGGAGATGGGAATCATTGCTGGGACGGTGGGAGTTATTGTCAGTAGCTCAGTTTTCTCAGGGTATTGGCATGGAATGAGGCAGATTGGATGGGAGATGGGCCTGAGGGCAGTGTCGGGATTTGGAATGTCTCTGGTGTGGAAGAGGGAGGGGTGAAGGGACCAAGGCCCGGAGGATGGTTGTAGCAGCACTGTGGAGCCATAGAGACCTTGACTGATAAAGCTACATGGTTTATCAGTCCATGGTTGCATAAATCCCCTGTCTCATCCCTTCTTAAGACTCCAGAGCTCAGGCAAAGGAGAAGTTCCGTGACTGCTTCCTCAGGGAAGCATTTCCCGACCTCTTCAGTTCACTTGCTTTATAGGCTCTCATGGCTGTTTTTGCCTTCTAGCTCTCTAATGTAGAGTTGTAGTTTTGCATTTGACTGTTATAATTATTTTAATTATAAATTATAACCAAAGTTATTTGACTTATGACTGAGCATGGTAGCTCATGCCTATAATCCAACACTTTGGGAGGCCAAGGTGAGTGGATCACTTGAGGCCAGGAGTCTGAAACCAGCCTGGTCAACATGGCAAAACCCTGTCTCTACTAAAAATACAAAAATTAGCCGGGCGTGGTTTGCCCACCTGTCATCCCAGCTGCTTGGGAGGTTGAAGCAGGAGAATCGCTTGAACCCAGGAGATGGAGGTTGCAGTGAGCCAAGATTGCGCCACTGCACTCTAGCCCAGGCGACAGAGTGAGACTCTGTCTCAAAAAAAAGAAGAAAAAATTGTTTATCTTTTGTTTTTCTCAGTAACTCAGGGCTCCGAGGACAGGTATGTCAGAGTGCGCTTACCATCGTGCAGCGTCCAGCACCTAGTGGACACTTGATAAATGCTTGTTGAATTTAATGAATCAAATACAGTGGTTCTCAACCTTTTTACCTGCCCCAACGTGCCAGTGGAAGATGGCGTACCTCTCTCTGAACCATTATTAACTGCCCTGATCCTCACCTGAAGGGGGACAGGTGCCAGGGTTGGGGAGCGTGATTAATATGATCACAGGCCCTGGAATAAGAATGTTGGGCTCAGATCCCAGCCCGTCCTCTCACCAGCCTTGCAACAGGGGAAATCTGTAACCTCTCTGTGCCCCAGTGTCCTCCTCCTCTATAAAATGGGGCTGGTATATAGCAGTACCTACCCCATAGGCTTGTCATGAAGATGATATGAAGCTGGGCACAGTGGGATGTGCCTGTGGTCCCAGCTGTGGGAGGCTGAGGCAGCGGGAACAGTTGAGTCCAGGAGTTTGAGTCTAGCCTGGGCAACGTAGTGAGACCCTTCATCTCTTTAAAAAAAAAAAAATGAGGCCAGGTGCGGTGGCTCACGCCTGTAATCCAGCCCACTTTGGGAGGCTGAGGCGGGTGGATCACAAGTCTGGAATTTGAGACATCCTGGCGCAACATGGTAAACCCTGTCTTTACTGAAAATACAAAAAATGAGCCAGGCGGTGGTGGCCACGTGCCTGTAGTCCCAGGGAGGCTGAGGCAGGAGAATTGCGTTGAACCCAGGAGGCAGAGGTTGCAGTGAGCCTAGATCGGCGCCACTGCACTCCAGCCTGGTGACAGAGCGAGACTGTCCGCTCTAAAAAAAAAAAAAAAAGAGAGAGATTAAATGAGGGAATTTATGTAAAGCTTTTAGAAGAACATGTCAAAATTAGGAAATTGTTATTACTGTTAGTGATTTCAAAAAATCTAGGTGATTTTGGTAGCCTTTTCTCCTGGAGACTCCCTGGCTTTGTGGTAAAGGATTTGCAGGGCAGGTGCCCGTCAGCATCTTTATGTACATCTCTTCAATTGTCATCTACTGTATAATATTGAGCTTCTGAGAGGAGAAATCCCTGTAACCATGATGGTCTTCCTTGGTTCAATGACCAGCACCTGAAACAAAGCTATTCTTTGTTATTTTTATTTTTATTTTTTATTTTTAATGAATATTTTAAAAAGTAAAGACAGTATGTTGTCCAGGCTGGTCTCACACTCCTGGGCTCAAGTGATTCCCCCCAGCTTTGGACTCCCAAAGTTTTGGGATTACAGGTGTGAGCCACAGTACCCAGCCATCAGAGCCATTCTTGAATCCTGTGGGACTATCACTGAGAAAATAGTAGAAAACATGGGATGGCCGGTCACTTGGAGAGCGCTGGCCCATCGGTGGGATGAGGGACTAGTGAATGCGCCTGCTTTACACCGGCCACGGTAAACCTGATTCTTTCTTCTCCTTGCAGAGGAGGGGTGGCCAAGCTGGAGAAGCACTTGATGCTTCTACGACAAGAGTATGTCAAGCTGCAGAAGAAACTGGCAGAGACAGAGAAGCGCTGCACTCTCTTGCTGCGCAGGCAAACAAGGAGCAGCAGGTGAGTCCTTCATCAGCCGGCCTGCCTGGCGATCGCTGGCAGACCTCTAACGAGCAGGAGCAGTACAGGTGAGCAGGGCTCCTGGACACAGAAGGCCTTTGGCTTTATTCCCCGGCGCCACACATACAGCTTTCTCATTCACTTTCTTCAGAATGTATTATCTCTACCCGTTGAGATATTAAGCGAATCTTTATTCCCTAGAATGAGAAGCTCCTCTGGAGGCAAGATTTTTATTTTTTTATTTTATATTTTTATTTTTTTTTAACAGACGAAGTCTTTGCTCTGTTGGCCCCAGGCTGGAGTGCCTGTGGCGAGATTTCGGCTCACCTGTAGCCTCTGCCTTTCCCGCGGTTCAAGCCAATTTTCTTGCCTCAGCCTCACTGAGTAGCTGGGACCTACAGCGCACCACGACCGCCTCCCGGCTTCATTTTTTTGGGTAAAAATTGTTTTTAGGTTCAGAGACGCGGGGTTTCAACGTGGTTGGCCAGGGGTCTTGATCTCCTGAGGTCCGCCTGCCCTCGGGCCTCCAGTAGTGCTGGGATGTACAGGTGTGTGAGCCACCGATGCCCGGCCAAGGCAAAGATTTTTTATTCTCATCGTTTTAGTGCTTATCTTCAGCAGAGTGCAGGAGTCATGGTGATAGCATTGCTAATCAAGCAGGAATTGGCTTACATGTCTAGGAATTCAGAGGGCAAACGTCCGTTTCTCTTGAGATGGTCAAAGCAAAACAGTCTTGGAACTAGTTAGAGGGTGCATCATGATGGTTGAGGTTGAACTCTGGAGCCATACAGCTTCCGTTAGAAGCTCAGGGTTGGGTGCGGTGGCTCACGCCTGTAATCCCAGCACTTTGGGAGGCCGAGGTGGGCGGATTACCTGAGGTCAGGAGTTTGAGACCAGCCTGGCTAACATGGTGAAACCCTGTCTCTACTAAAAATACAAAAAATGAGCCAGGCGTGGTGGCACGTGCCTGTAGTCCCAGGGAGGCTGAGGCAGGAGAATTGCTTGAACCCAGGAGGCAGAGGTTGCAGTGAGCCTAGATCGCGCCACTGCACTCCAGCCTGGTGACAGAGCGAGACTCCGTCTAAAAAAAAAAAAAAAAAGCAGCTAAGTCATGTGGGTAAAATTAATGAACGAGAAAAGATCAGGGGTGAGCACCTGTGACTGTGCGGTATACCCCCCCAGAACACAATGACGAAAGACTCGAATTGGGATGCTGGGATCATGCCAAGACGCGTTCGAAATACATAAGAAGGAAAAGGGACCTTGAGCCCGCAGGGGATCGAAGCTCCCATCACAACAGCTAGTAAATTTCAAAATTAAATGCAACATTTTAAATAATCAGCTCACACCCAGTAATCCCCAGCAACTTGGCGACGGTGCCAAGCAGTGGATCCCTGAGGTCAGGAGTTTTGAAACCCAACTGACCCAACGACGAAGACCCTGTCCTACTAAAAATACAAAAATTAGCCACCATATGGTAGCATACCACCTAATAGAGCCTTGGGCCCTCTCAGCTACTTAAGGAAGGCCTGCAGCAAAAAAGACATCTGCTTGACCTGCGGAGGTGGATATAATAGCCAGATCTGAGCTTTAAGAATTAGTAAGCTACTACTTTTTGGACTGCCTCCCAGCCTGGGAGAGTTCGCAGTGATTACTGAACTTGAAGCTTTAGTACGAATATAAAAAACAAAACACCTACACAAAGCTCAAAATTCTAAGGATGCAAATAACAAAAAAATAACCCAGGGAATTCAATTAACTATATCTTAGTCCTTCAAATGAAAAGAAATAAATCTGTTACAGAAAAAGGGGAAGTATAATTCGAGTAAACGATATTCGCCCATAAACTCGAATACGAACGTAGCCTTCTTGTAAAAATAGAACCTTGCCTTGTTTTTCCTCTTCCTTCCACGAACCAAATGAAACTTTGTTTATTACTGGGCAGGGAGCGAATTTCCTGGGTTACAGACAACACCACTCCCTACTCTTTGAGCCTCTTTCCATTACACTCGCCCGTCCTGTTATTTTCAATTACTTATCAGATCTGATAGTAAGTTTTATTTTCCACAATCATCTTTTGAAAGTCTTCTCGGAACAATGGAATAGACTGGGTAGGTTCCGTGTCCTGTCAGTGTTTTAGCTAGGTATGTATATCTACGACTCCAACGAGTCCCCTTCAGCTTCCTAAAACCTGCCCCTACGCAGGGTGCGGTGCCCCATGCCTTTAATGCCCAGCACTTTGGGAGGCCTCGAGGGGCAGGTGATCTGCTTGAGCCAGGAGTGCGAGGCAGCCTGGCGCAAATGGGCGAGAACCCCTGGCTCTTACTAAAATTACAAAAATTACAGGGCCTTACGTGCCATGGGCCCTACGTAAGCCACGCTACTCAGGAAGCGATGCAATGGAAGAGTTGGCTTGAATCCAGAAAGCTGACGGTTCGCAGTGGCCTGAGATCGCCGCCCACTGCCACCCAGCTGGATGAACGCGAGGTGCAGACCCTGTCTTTAAAAAAAAAAGAAAAAGGGCTGGGTGTGTGCTCCACCTTTAATCCAGCAACTTGTTGGAGGCTGAGTGGGGCCGATCATCTGAGGTCAGGAGTTCGAGAACAGTCCAACCAACATGATGAAACCCTGTCTCTACTAAAAATACAAAAATTTAGCAGAGCGTGGTGGCGCTCCCCTGTAATCCCAGCTACTCAGGAGGCCGAGGCAGGAGAGTCGCTTGAACCCGGGAGGCGGAGGTTGCAGCAGTAAGCTGAGATTGCGCCACTGCGCTCCAGCCTGGGCAACAGAGTGAGACTCCATCTCAAAAAAAAAAAAGCCTGCCCTTTATCTAAAGAAGGTTGAAACTCTATGTTATCTACAATTGAATATCAGATAGGGAATGGAGTTTTCCTAGGGGACTAAGCTGTCAAGATGTGGTAACCGAAATTGAGAAATCGGTTTCTAAAGCAGACATCTTCTACCAACGTAGGGGAAAAAATACCTTTATCCTATAACATGCATTTTGTTGAAAAATTCAAATAGTATTTTTATGTGCCTCTTAGTAGCTGGAATGACTGATGAATAGGTTTTAAAAGTTTTTAAGTTGAGAAATGTGGAAGAAACCGGTCGCCTTTCTTTTTTTTCTTTTTTTTCTTTTTTCATTTTTAATAAGAGACAGAGTCTCACTATGTGTTGCCCAGGCTGGTCTCAAACTCCTGGTCCTGGCCTCCCAGAGTGCTGGGATTACAGGTGTGTGCCACTGTGCCTGGCCTACTTGTCAAGTTCAGGAGAACAGTTTTGTCCCATAAGGTAGTTAAAAATGATGGCTATATGTAGTTACTTACTGTACTCATTCTTTTACCAAACAAACCTATGGTTTTTCCTATTCAAGTGTTTGAGAAACTAACAAGAAACTGTTCATCTCCTCTCCAGTTACAGCATTCTGGTTTCCATGTTTTAAAAGGAAATACTCTTTAATTGAGTGGAATCAAGTTTTTAAAAAATTACTAGGTCCTTAGTTGTTTCAACATAGAATCTTCATGGACTGGGCTTGTCTGATTTTCCGGTTTTCATTTGTGTTTTAAAAAATTATTATTGGAAATTATTGATGAAATCCTTATCTTTATTTCCCTTTGGTATGTCAGATTACAAAAGAGAGAATTTTGACCTGACACTCATGAATGTGGTAGAAATTTTCTAGAAACATTCATTTTTATAATTTTGTGGCTACAAGTTATACTCGTGGTTGAAATAGTACAGACTGAAAATCTATTTAAGTTATTAGGATGTAATACTTTATAAATATATTCAGAGTTTAAAAATTATTTGTGCTTTGTAGGCAGCTTCTTGTTTTCATTAAATTTTTTACACTTTGTCACAGGATATGCTGATACAGTTTTATGTTTTGTTTTACATAGAGTATCCTATTTCTTCTCTGACCATGAATAATGTTCTACTGTGTTAACAGCAGTTTGTAATAATTTGAAATAATAAATACTCTCTTAATCTTGTGATCTAATATCATTAGTTACCGCTTGGTCTTTGATAGAACTGGAATTGTTGATACTTTCAAATGATGATTAAGTGTGTTGTAGGCAATACTCTTGTAGGGTCTACAAGAGTAGAATGTAGAATGTGTCTCTGTCAAGCATTATGTACAAACAATATTCTGTTTGGGTTTCCTCTTTTTTTTTTTTTTTGAGACAGAGTCTTGCTCTGTCACCCAGGCTGGAGTACAGTGGCGTGATCTCAGCTCACTGCAACCTCTGCCTCCTGGGTTCAAGCGATTCTCCTGCCTCAGCCTCCTGACCAACTGGGATTACAGGCGCCCGCCACCATGCCTGACTAATTTTTGTATTTTTGGTGGAAACGGGGTTTCACCATGTTAGCCAGGATGGTCTCGATCTCTTAACCTCGTGATCTGCCCACTTCGGCCTCCCAAAGTGCTGAGATTTCAGGCGTGAGCCCCCATGCCTGGCCTGGGTTTCCTTTTAAGTGGATGGGTTAATTCATGTAATGGTATTTTCTTTTTCTTTTTTTCCATATAGTAGTTTTTGTGTAGTTAGTTTCCGAAGACTTTCCAACCTAGTAAATACCTTTGAAGTTGAATATGAAAATAAAACGTATAACTACCAGCAGGATGATGACAGTGACTTTGGATTCCTGCCAGGATAGCCATACGGCATGTACTCGTGGCAGCCCAGTGGGTCATCTTGACGTTTTTGTTCACTGCCCAGATGCTCTCCTCCGGTAGCATTTGACATTTCGGAGTTATACATAAATATCTATTCAGGAAGATCGTTTCATATAATGGCATGTCATAATTATGGAAACATGTTTTGAAAAGAAAGCTTTTTCCTCACCCCATTTTTTATAAGTAGTTGAGTCAAAAATGGTCAATATTAGGTCTGAATGTTTCTGGTGAGAACAGGAGTCCCGATGCTGGGTGCCGTGTTCATGACTGCTCGTCAGTTTGTTCACGCTTTTTCTGTTTCACCTTGCTTGAGCGTTACTGTGAGGCGTAGCAGCGCTGTAGTCTCAGAGCCGTCATCACCAGCTTTAACCTTTCTGTCTTTCTCTCCCTGATGGTTTAGCTTGTTTTAGTCTATATAAAATATCCTCTACTTTTTATGTGAATATTAATCCTCCTCCTTAACTTGGAGGTTCACCACTGTAAGAATCCCATTAGAAGGTGTATTTGAGGCCGGGCGCGGTGGCTCAAGCCTGTAATCCCAGCACTTTGGGAGGCCGAGACGGGCGGATCACAAGGTCAGGAGATCGAGACCATCCTGGCTAACACGGTGAAACCCCGTCTCTACTAAAAAATACAAAAACCTAGCCGGGCGAGGTGGCGGGCGTCTGTAGTCCCAGCTACTAGGGAGGCTGAGGCAGGAGAATGGCGTGAACCCGGGAGGCGGAGCTTGCAGTGAGCTGAGATCCGGCCACTACCCAGTTGGGTCTAGGAACCAGATTAAAAAAAAAAAAAAAAAAAAAAAGAAGGTGTATTTGAAAGCCGAGCATGCCACGTGAATTAAAGCCAGAATTTACAAATAGAAACCATTTCTAGCAACGTATTATAAAGATGGCCCATCAGAATTCAGTGCCAGCATATAGAAACAATGTTTTGCTGTAATTTTTCCTTTTGCAGATGTATGTTGATCAATACTCATGTGTTTATCAGCTATGAATCCTAGCTATACCTAGGTATAATGACGTTTTTCTAATATATGTGGGTCTTTTTCTTCATCAGCGATCTGAAGATAAAGGTTGGGGACAGGCACATCAGCGCTCACAAGTTTGTCCTGGCAGCCCGCAGTGACAGCTGGAGTCTGCCTAACTTGTCTTCCACTAAAGAGTTGGACCTGTCAGGTGAGCCTTTGAGTGATCAGGGACACAAACCTGCTAGCGGAAGGGCTCTTGGCAGAAGGTTATGGTGTCTCATTTTGAAATATTTGTGATTCAATGAAAGTAAAATAATTTTCTTAGCAATTGATGGTGACCACAAACTAGTTAAATAATTAATGAATCAGTAGGTTGTACTTTTAGGTACTTTGTGTATCTACCTATTGAGGAGGTAATACCTGGCTAACAAATCATAAATATTTGAGTATCTGCAATGTCCTTATGATTTATAAAATGTAAGTATTTTTCTGTACACTCATTTCATGAAAAAGTATGCTGTAAATAAGGATTAATGTCCAGAAAATATTTTTCCCTCAAGTCTAATTAAAAGTCCTGCTGTCAGATTGCTTAAAACTTCATACTAGATGCCAAAGGACTTTTTTTTTTTTTTTTGTAAGACAGAGTCTCACTCTGTCACCCAGGCTGGAGTGCGACGGCAATCTCAGCTCACCGCAATCTCCCGCCTCCCGGGTTCAAGTGATTTTCCTGCCTCAGCCTCCCGAGTCGCTGGGATTACAGGCGCCCACTACCACACCCAGCTAATTTTTGTATTTTTAGTAGAGTCAGGGTTTCACCATGTTGGCCAGGCTGGTCTTGAACTCCTGACCTCATGTGATCCACCTGCTTCAGCCTCCCAAAGTGCTGGGATTACAGGTGTGAGCCACCGTGCCTAGCCAAAGTACTTTTTCTAGTCTGTCAGAACTGAACTCAGAACAGTTACTCTGAAGAATAACAATATTCTTTCTCGAACATCAAAAGATGACCATTAGCCTTCAGAATTTTAATAGGTATGGGTTACTACATGAGATGGTGGATATGTTAATTTGCTTCACAGTGCCCATTTTACTATATATGTATCCCACAGCATTGTGTTGCATAGCTTAAATATATACAGTACAATTTATTTATTTTTTTTTAAATTTTAAGGCTGGGTGTGGTGGCTCATGCCAGTAATCCTGGCACTTTGAGAGGCCAAGGTGGGAGGATCACTTGAGCCTAGGAATTCAAGGCTAGTCTGGGCAGTATAGCAAGACCCTGTCTCTACAGCAAATTAAAAAAAAAAAAAATAGCTAGACATGATGGCATGTGCTTGTAGTCCCAGCTTCTTGGGAATCTGAGGGGAATGGATTTCTTGAGCCAAGAGTTTGAGGCCACAGTGAGCTATGATATCACCACTGCATTCCAGCCTGGGCAACAGAACAAGACCCTGTCTCAAAAAAAAAAAAAAAAAAGATAAAGTTAATAGCTGCCTTGGCCTATTTAATGTTACATGTTTTATATCACATTTTGTGTGTGTGTGTGTAGGATTGAAGCAAATAGGGTGGCAAGTGGACTTTAAAACAGTCGTTTTCAAAAGTTGACCTGAAGGCTGCATTTTCATTTAGTACTTGCCTGACTGCTATTGGAAAAAAAGGGACAAAGAGCAAAATTTTAATTTAATTCTACTATTAATATTCGTGAGAATTATATGGTGAGAATGACAGGGATATGTTCTGAGAATGTGTCATTATGTGGTTTTGTTGTGGGAACATCATAGAGTATATTTACGCAAATCTACATGGTATATAGCCTAGTACCCACCTGGGCTGTATGGTATAGTGTGTTGTTTCTAGGCTGCAACCCTGTACAGCATGTTACTGTGCCGAATGCCATAGGCAACAGTAACACAGTGGTAAGTGTTTGTGTACCTAAACATAGAAAAGGTCAGTAAAAATACAATATTATAATTTTATGGGACCACCATTGTATCTGCAGTCTGTTGTTGACCAAACATAGTTATGTACCTGCCGAAGTGATTGTCTGTGTGAATTATATCTTTGTTCAGAAGGTTTGTCAGTTGAGAAGGTACTATTTTCCATGTGCAGTGCCAGGAACACTGAGATGATTCTAACACAGTCCCTGCCATACGGAGCCCTTATTCTGCTGGAGGAAACAGGCCATTCACAAATCATTTCAGACCAGGGCTATAAAACAGAAATGTAGTTAGCTTTTAGGTAAGGTTGAGGAGAGACTGAGTTGGGGTGATAAAGGAAGGTTTCAGAGGTGGCTGATACCTGAGGCGTGTTGTAAAGGCTAAGTAGGCATTTATCTCATGGATTAAGGGGAACACATGTCAGTGTTTCCCAGCTGTGAGCCAACTCTCTCTTTATGATAATTTTGAGGATTTAACTTGAGGTCCATAACTAAAAGTTGTAGATACAAATGCACGTACACACCTACACATGTGCGGATGCCGGCATGCCAGTAACTAAAAACATCTGCCTGGGAAATCGTTTTTTACTGGGAGGGCACCAGTCCACGTGATCGAAATCTCAAGGCATAGCTTTTTTTTTTTTTTTTTTTTTTAAAGCCTAGTGTTTTGAAGCCGTGTATCTTTGACCTCGTATATAACAGAATTATGAAGACCTTACAAGGTCATGTAGCATTCTTCACAACATGTATGATAGGATCTTCATTATATGAACAGAATGTTTATGAAGACTAGAAGATAATAAATATATGGAAAAGATTTGACTCTGCAGGAAAAAAGTTAAGAATAAGCTACTGTGTTTTGATATCTGTATAATCAAAACTGATGACCCCAGTAGTTGTGAGGCTCATGAAATTGGTATTCTCATACATTGCCAGTGACGTTATAAATAGGTATGACCATTTTAGAAAGCAGTTAGGCAGCTGAGCTGTGAAATATTCCTACTTTTTTTTTCTTCATTATCTGACTTCTGGGATACTGTCGTAGGTAAGGTAACTCAGACAGTGTTAGTGTTCCTCAGTTTTACTTTAATCGTGAAATAGTGACTACAACCAAAATGAATGAGAGTGGGAAAATAAAACATCACTGCTCTCTGAAACAAAATCACACAACACAGAAAATTACATTAAGGCAAAAAAAGCCAGTGTCAACATTGAATTAAAAAATTTGTTTTACACTGAACTTTTTTAGTACATCCAGACATTTAGAGCTCTCATTCAGTGCTGTCTGGCCGCAAGATTTCATCACCGTGAGTCAGGAAGTTTTATCGAGTTTAGGGAAATAGAATATTAATATCTTTAATTGTCTCTAATTATCTCTAGACTCTCCTCCAGTTGTAAATAATAAGTGTGTTTTGATTCTACCATAAGGTTGCTTTCAGGAGTGATCCACTTCAAAGCAAATGGTTTTTGTGGCTTTCATAGATCAGGTACCTGTGAAGATAGCAGATAGGAGAACATATGACATTTTTACTTTTTATGACATTTTAATGAAATGTATCTTTGTGATGGGGGAGAGGTCCAAGCTGGTAGTGGCATGTATGGACCTGTTCCTGTTGAATTGTGTGCTTTGTCCAGCAGTCCTGCTCATTGCCTCAACCTGGGGTTGCAGTTTCTGAGACTGCCTGGGAAGCCTGTGTGTTATGTGATACTTGGAAGCACTAACACTTCATGGCTGGCCAGCAGTTTGAGGAAGATTGGAAACAGGTTCTTGTAAACAGGTGTATAAATAGCATAAAAGCTATATTTTAAAGGCTCAAATGTTTTCCACACCAACGGGCTTGATAAAATCATTTAATGAATTTATTGGTGTTTTGTTTTTTCAACATTAATCCATTCATATAAAAAATATTGAGTGGTAAGTACTTTTCAAGGTGTTAGGGATACAAAATGTACAAAATTAAATTCTTGCTTGCATGAAACTTACATCTTAGAATGTAAGAAAAACTCCACATTTTTCTTTTGAAGTTCTTGTCTAATTGATATTTCTTTCTTTCTTTCTTTCTTTTTTTTTTAAGACAGGATTTCACTCTGTCACCCAGGCTAGAGTGCCATGGTGCAATCACGGCTCACTGCAGCCTTGACCTCCTGGCCTCAAGCGATCCTCCCACCTCAGCCTCCTGAGTATCTGGGACCACAGGTGTGTGCTACCATACCTGGCTCATTTTTTGTAGACGTGGGATTTTGCCGTGTTGCCCAGGCTGGTCTTGAACTCCTGGACTCAAGGAATCCTCCTGCCTTGGTCTCCCCAAGGCCTATGGGGATTACAGGTGTGAGCCACTGCACACAGCCTTAATTATGAGAATTTTAGCATATATTGATGAAATACAACAGGCATTATATACACTTTAAAGGTATTTGGATATATGAATCAAACCTTGTTCAAAAAAGTGAAATGTTTGTACCTGATGTGGTCCACTGGTGAAGGCACAGTCCCTGCTGTAGGGATGCAGTGAGGCACAGTCCCTGCTGTAGGGATGCAGTGAGGCCCAGTCCCTGCTGTAGGGATGCAGTGAGGCACAGTCCCTGCTGTGGGGATGCAGTGAGGCCCTGCTGTAGGGATGCAGTGAGGCACAGTCCCTGCTGTGGGGATGCAGTGAGGCACAGTCCCTGCTGTAGGGATGCAGTGAGGCGCAGTCCCTGCTGTGGGGATGCAGTGAGGCCCAGTCCCTGCTGTGGGGATGCAGTGAGGCGCAGTCCCTGCTGTGGGGATGCAGTGAGGCCCAGTCCCTGCTGTGGGGATGCAGTGAGGCCCAGTCCCTGCTGTGGGGATGCAGTGAGGCGCAGTCCCTGCTGTGGGGATGCAGTGAGGCGCAGTCCCTGCTGTGGGGATGCAGTGAGGCGCAGTCCCTGCTGTAGGATTCTTTTCTGTTTTTGAGATGGGGTCTCACTCTGTCACCCAGGCTGGAATGCAGTGACACTGTCATGGCTCACTGCAGCCTCGAACTCCTGGGCTCAAGAGATCCTCCCACCTCAGCCTCTCAAGTAGCTGGGAGTACAGGTGTGCGCCACCATCCCTGGCTAGTTGTTCAATAGAGATGGGCTCTTGCTATGTTGCCAAGGCTGGTCTCAAACTCCTGGGCTCAAACGATCCTCCTGCCTCAGCTGCCCAAAGTGCTGGAATTTCAGGCATGAGCCACTCTGCCTGGCTCTTCTATAGGATTTTTGCCATTAATGCATAAGCTCAGTCTAATCATGAGAAAACATCAGACCCAAAT